GCTTCCCCTAAGCGGCTAAATGGCAGACGCACAGTTTCACACCTACACAGCATTGCAACTGGCCAACGAGTTATGAGTAAGTGTGTGTGTATGGGTGGGGTGAGTGTGTGTGTGCTTGTGTCTGCATTCCCTTTTTGCGGTTTTTATTTGTGACCCAATTTATGGCCAGGCTAGAATGAGCGCATTGCACCCAGACATTGTGTTCATTTGTTCCCATAATAACGTCAGGCATCTGCCAACAGCACGCACACCCACACACACACACATACACACATGGTTGGTGGTATTTAAATCCGGCTAATAAAATTCAATTGCTGCGATTCTCTCACCGTTACTGATGATTTAATTCAGTTGTGCCACATCAAAATAAATGTTTGCATTTACATTTTTAGCTAGGATACAAATTTTAATTACAGCAAGATAAACTGATTATTTATAAAAACGTTATCTGATTAGCTCTCACAAATATATCTGCCCCAAATTATAGATATATGTTCGCTGAGCCAGCAAATTGGTGTTGAACCATTATGAGAGGTATGCGCTATTCCCCTCGCAGTCTGATTGACCGGTAATCGATGCCGCTTGTCACGCCCACCGGCAGCGATACAATCCTAATCGAATTCAACAAATTATTGGCGGAAATGTTTGCACATTTCAATTGGCACCAAGGCCCACATTGTGCGCGATTCTGTTTGCATTGTATTTGACCGACAACAGCCTGTGGGCTGTGGTCATAGCAGGGGCAAATATGGGACAATAAACGCTACATTGTGAAACATCAACAATGGCTAATGCTATTAATATTTTATTATTATTATTATTATTACTACATACTTCGTAGCTATGCCGAACAATGGCAAAAACTGGGCATTCTGTGCTCCTCCTGCCGGCTAATGGAGAATGCCGAATTAAATCCAACACAGCATCGCAGACAAATAATAATGGCAACAATAGCGTCACTGTGTAGTTGTATGGGTGTGTATACGGGTGTGTGGACTGTGTGGGTGTGTATACATTTGCACATCCCAAGGCAACGGAAAAAGTCGGACGTGTGGATTAATAATTCAATTGGATTGCACAATGCGTCGCATGCGTTTTGCACTCTAAATGCAAAGTGCCTGCCAGGGCGAGAGAAAAAATAAGCATAGCCCGGAAGTGCCCAACTAGCAGATACCCTGTACAAATGTTAATATGCTTATACATACAGATTACATATTTATTTATTTATTGTTGTATTTTTATTCTGATCATTTTAGGTTTCATTTCACTAAGAACTACGGTTGTCGAAAATATAACAAAATATAAATATTTTTATGTAAAAAATACATTTATATCGGAATATTCTTTTTGATATATTTGAGTGACAAGTGAAGCAAGCGAAAAGTACGAATATTGAACATGGTGAAAACGAATTATTCTGAATTTAATTTGGGCATTAAAGTAATAAGAGCAAGTGCCTAACACATCAGAGACTCTGGAGTTAAGCAGTTTTTAGCATATAAATAAAAAATACTTATTGTTATTATTCTTGTTTTTTGGGACGGATTATAAATTGATTGAGGAAAATCTATATATATAAAAGAAAGTTGTGTAAAAGTGAAGACTGCTTATAACTTGATTTGGGCTGAACCAATTTTCATGGTTTTTGATTTGTTGGATTTGTCTCCGCAACGAGTTTAGTATAGGGTCTTAAAAATACTGAAAAAATTTGCCGAATACTTGAAAAACGCGGTTTTTTCCCCAAATGTTCAAATTTTTTTTATACCCAGTAGGCTTGGTAACAGTGACAGTTTTGACAATAGTGTAGAAGTAAATAAACAAATGTAGTCAGTCAGTCTACGGTCTCCTGACCTCGAGCAGACCTGACTATTCAAAAAAAANAATTTAAACCAACCAAAACTGTGCAATGGAACGCGTTTGGTGATAAGAAAACTGATGAGCAATGTGATTCACGCGTTGATACTCAAAGGAAAATTTAAAGATGAGGAAGTTCTTATTCCTAGGATTCCGATGAGCTCAACAGATATGCCCTTTGAATTTAAACGAATTCAATTCCCGCTTCGTCTTGCCTTCGCCATGACGATCAACAAGTCACAGGGCCAATCTTTGACTATTTGTGGCCTCAATCTAGAAAATGCGTGTTTTTCTCATGGTCAATTGTACGTGGCATGCTCACGTGTTGGCAAACGATCCGCATTATTTGTTCTTGCACCCGACCAAAAAACGAAGAATGTCGTTTACAACAAGGTGCTTGAATGAAAATCTGATTAATAAATTTATCAGTGTATCCCAGCCTGAACAACATAGCTTTCAACAATTTTTTACCTAGAAATAATATAGAGGGCAATGCAACGTTTGCCGGGCCAGCTAGTTATATAATATAATATAATATTGATATATCGATATTTTAAAGTTGCATACCAAGTATCACATTGATATTTTTCAAAACCTAAAATACAGCGATACGATATTTTAAAATTGTTTGGCAGCCCTAGTAAGTAACTTTATAACCTCTTAAAGACTAAATATTCATACTATATCTTTAGTTCATCTACATAGATTTTCAGTATACTATATAGATACTTGAATATAAACTCATCAGCCTGTTTGAGTGTATAATATCAGTATTAATCTCTATTCTCTATTATCAATTATCTCTGTTATTATTTGTCTATTATTACTCTCTTATATTCTTTGCCATAAGTGCACTAACAAATATACCCGTTTCTTTTCAAGTTGAATGGGTAAACAAAAACTCATATACATGCAAGTTTAATATGAGCATATTTTGTTCATTCAAATGTTGCTCTGTTGCAATACCAATTTCAATGGCAGTCGACTACAAATTCTCCACCAAAAATGTATGCAAACTTTGCAATTTATCGATTAGATGTGCTTTTCGAAAGTTATGCAAATGTTTGATTGTCAATTAAGTTGACAACATTGTTAGGCAAATTGACACAAATTGCGTTATGAACAATGTTGCCATAGTTTCCGTATTATAATGTTGTTAATAGTCCATCCACTTGCGCAATTGCTCGTTTAATTAGTTAGAGGTCCATTTAGACATAAACTGTTTAACGACGAATATGGCTAATTGCTGCCTGCTCGGACAGGTGCGTACGTAGGTGAGTCAGCAGCAATGACAACAGCAACGGTAACGGCAACAGCAACCGCAACAGGGTTATTCTCAAAGCACTGCACGTTAACTTCGTTCTAGTCATTATTTACATTCGATTGAAAGTTAAGCGTGCAAACAGTTCAGCACAGAGAAAACTTTATCGTTGTATGGATGGGATACGGGCTACGAATAAATACTATATAGTGCGCTCTGAATTTGTATCTGTGTGGCAGCATCCATATATATA